AGATCGGATCAGTGTGCATCAGAATAAATTACTTTGTTTTAACCAATGCAAACCTTCCCAAAGGGCATCAGAGTAGGCAATAGCTGGCTGTTGTCTAGCGATTATTAGATTATGTGTCTATCAAAAAGTGACTCATTTCCGTGATTCTTCTAATGATTTATTCAGTAACCTTGAGCAGGTATACTAATCTTTGTAATTATATGTGTAAAATAACAATAACCCCTTCTAGTGACTCTTTCTTGTTTCCCAAGCAATATTTCTGCATATTATTTTAAGTGAGTCTTAAGAGAATTCTGTAATGCTGGGATTAGGCTCCTCAATTTAAAAAGAGGTTAAATAACGCATCCAGGTCATCCAGCCACTGAGCATTAAAACTGGGACTGTTAGCTGGAATCTGACTTCTAATCCAGAACTTTTCCCAATACCCAACACTGCTTCTTGCTAATTTAAGAAAGAAATGTTTAGCCGAAACCTGTTCGGCTCAGTGGATAGAGCATCGGTCTGTGGACTGAAAGATCCCAGGTTCGATCAAGGGCATGTACATTGGTTTCGGGCACATCCCCGGTACGGGGTGTGCAGGAGGCAGCTGGTAGATGTTTCTCTCTCATCGACTTTCTAACCCTCTCCCTTCCTCTCTGTGGAAAACCAATAAAATATATTTTTTTATAAAAAATTTTAAATTTTTTTTAAAAAGAAAAAATGTTTAAATGAGCATGGGGGGAATATGTAAGCAAAACTCATACCTGCTGGAATTAAAACAAAGTTGTAGATAACCCCCCTCTTGTCTAGCAACAGCAATGGCCCTGCACAGAAGCAGCTGACTGAGGCAATCAAAGAATAGGACCCAGTTGGGGACTCTCCAAGCACTTCCCCTACAGACAACCACAGGAGCAGGGTTCAAACTTTATGGCTGTTGAGTTGCCAGTGATAACTATAAAGTTTGGCCTGGCGACTCCACTAAAGAACAGATACTTCATCAGCTGCAAGTACCTGTTTGCCTAGATGCTGTGCGCCAAAGAAAGCCAGAGGGGAAACGTTTCGGAGCATATTCAATCAGCCCCTTCTGGATCCTGAGGCGGACCTTCGCTCTTACATCTGATGGTTAGCACCTGAATGATACCTGAGCCCCAAATCACCTGTTATGGAAATTCTGCCCCAGTTTAACTACTATCACCCCATGAGAGCAACATCTAGTTTAATACAAAGAAAGACTATATTTAGAAATAAATGGCAAGAAGCGGAAACCAGTTTGGCTCAGTGGATAGAGCGTTGGCCTGGGGACTGAAAGGTTCCAGGTTCGATTCCGGTCAAGGGCATATACCTTTGTTGTGGGCACATCCCCAGTGGGGGGAGAGAGGAGTGTGTGTGTGCAGGAGGCAGCTGATTGATGTTTCTCTCTCATCAATGTTTCTAACTATCTATCCCTCTCTCTTCTTCTTTGTAAAAAATCAATAAAATATTTTAAAAAATAAATAAAATAAATGGCAAGGATATAGCATGTTAAAAACTATGGGAGGGGGTTGGGAACAAGACCTATGGGATTTGTACTCAGCCTTTGATGTTTTTATTAGAAGACCCTTCAGTCTGCAGGCTGACATTCTAATCACTGAGCAGCTGGCTAGGGCTCAGTCCATTCTTGATGGCAGTGTAGGATGCCCTGGGTTTACTGGGTTTCTGCCATGTGCCCGGTGATGCTCAGACAGACATTTGTCAGCCGTCTGTCCTCCAGTTCTCCACTCTGTGTGTTCTTGGTCGCCTATGGTGGTGGTTACATGTGTGGTGGTAGTTACATGAGTGTGTAATGGTGGTAGTTACATGAATGTGTAATGGCTGAAATTTGAAGAACTGTTCACTAAAAGGGGTTAATTTTACTGTGTGTAAATTATACCTTAATTTTAAAATGGAAAAAAAATGCGACATATACTTAATATATAATAGTTCAAAATATACTTGCTGTTTCTTTTAAAAAAAAAAAAAAGTATAAGAAATGAATGAAGACTGTGTCTATCAAGGTGTCTTCTCAACTGTGACATCCTATGAATCATGGCCCCATCTGAAAAAGGTACGTGTTTAATGTACACATGGCAACTACATTCTTTTCCAAAAAGTATGATTCTGATAAGCAAATATGAAGGGAAGTTGCTAATAGCTAGGAAACAACAAGAAAAACAAACAGGCCCTAGCTGGTTTGGCTCAGTGGATAGAGCTTCGGCCTGAGAGCTGAATGGTCCTGGGTTTGATTCCAGTAAAGGGCACATGCCTAGGCTAGATCCCCAATGGGGGGCATATAGGAGGCAGCCAATCAATGATTCCCTCTCTTCATTGATATTTCTCTCTCTCTCCCTCTCCCTTTCTCTTTGAAATCAATAAAAATATATTTTAAAAGATAAATAAAGTGGGACATTTTGGTATTAAAAAAACCTTTATTTCACTTTTATTTTTAGAGGAAAAAGGGGAAGCTAGAAACCCCATCCAAAATTAGGAGCCAGCATTAACCTTTGTTATTGCCAAAGAATTACAATAGTATTTATTTCCAAAATGTCTACCTAACTCAGTTGTTAAAGGAATAGAACATTGTTCACACATTCCCAACTATAAGTAAAATTCGTTTGGTTTTATTTTCATAAAAGGTGGCTTTGCTTTATTTCAGAAAAGGAATTGTGGCCATATTGGATATTGATTTATTTTTACCGTTATGCTTGCTTCTACAAAAGAAGGGGAGGGGAGGACTAAGGAGCCACCTGCATGAACAAGGATGCAAAACCCTGATTTCTAGAATACTTAAGGATTTTGTTTTAAACACACCTTATTCAAAACATTGGAAAGAATGTAACATTCACATTCTTCCTATTCCATAACATTTATTTATTTTATTGACTGATTTTAGAGAAAGGAAGGGGAGAGAGAAAGGAGAGAGAGGAACATCAATTTGTTGTTCCACTTGTTTATGCATTCATTAGTTGATTCTTTTTTAAAAAAATATATTTTATTGATTTTACACAGAGAGGAATTGAGAGGGATAGAGTGTTAGAAACGTCGATGAGAGAGAAACATCGACCAGCTGCCTCCTGCACACCCCCCTCTGGGGATGTGCCTGAAACCAATGTACATGCCCCTGACCAGAATCGAACCTGGGACCCCTCAGTCTCCAGGCCGACGCTCTTCCACTGAGCCAAACCGGCTTCGGCCATTAGTTGATTCTTATATGTGCCCTGGCTAGGGATTGAACCCATCTCCTTGGTGTGTTGGGGCTATGCTATAACCAGCTGACTACCCAGCCAGGGCCCATAACCCTTTATAAAGGGCACTAGAAGTAAATGGTATATCTGGAATTAGGAAGGAAGTTATTTTTTTTACTCATGTTGCAAGGAAATAAACACCAAGTTTTAACAATTAATTAATACTAATTTTGGCAAGTCACCTACCTACTGAGTCGCGCCCCCCCCCCACCCAGCAGTTAAAAGGAGGGTGTTGACACTACAGGATCCCTAGGTGAATCCAGCCCTAAACGCCTTGATTCACCTTAGAGAATAGAAGGTGCGCTGTGACTCAGAACCGTTACTGCAAGGGTTAGGCAGGTATTACAGTGGTCACTTAAAAAAAAAACCAAAAACAAAACAAAAAAAAAACCTTGCTCATTTGGGGTTCGGTTTTTATCACGATTTTCTCCTGGTGTGGAGGAGAATGTGTGCTGCAACAGGAGAGAACCATCCGAAGGAAAACGTATCTCCACCATTTTTATTCTATGTCCTTTCTTATCCTCTCCGCCAGAGAAAAGCCCAGGTTTAATGTTCTCTTAATTCCAAAATAAAAAGCAGCAAACCCCACAGCAATCCTTACAGTTTTTGTTCAAAGAAACAGCCCAAACCCCGAAGAGGCACTGTTTGTCGACATAGCACCAGTCTCAGCACCGAGGACTCCGTTTTCCAAATATAACCACCGCCAGCCCTCCCTCGGGGCTCACCCCTATCCGTTTTTTAAGACCCATCTACTGAGAGCCTTTCATCTACACGCATAAACATCATTTCCTCCCCGCAATGGAGGCTGGAGCAGCCCGAACCGTGCAGCCCAGCCGGGGCTGAGCCTGCAGACAGGGAGCCTGCGGACTGCGGTGCTGGGCAGGGCCATCCTCCCGCCGCGCAGGCAGCTTTCCGCCCCCCCCCCCCCCGGTGTGATTTAGGGGGGCTCCGGACCCCATCCGATCCCGCCCTGGACACCAAGACCCGGGAAGCGGGGGAGGGAGGCGGCCTCTGGGGAACGCTTCTCCCCAGCGCCCAGGTGGGTCCCTGCAGCGGGCGCCGCGGCCCGGGCTCCCGGGAAGGAGGAGGAGGAGGAAGGGGACGGGAGTGGGAGGAGGTGGAGGACACAGGCCGGGATTTCGCTCGTCACGATGCACGAAGGAGGGTGGGAGAGAGGGAGGGACTGGAGCGAGAAAAGGGAGTGGAATCGGGGGGCTGAGGGAACAGAGAGAGCCAGGAAGGGGAGCAGGGAAATGCGGACGGTGATGGGGTGAAGAAGGGGGTGCCAGGGAGGGCGATGAGGTGCAGAAGGGGAGGGTGATGGACAGCAGAGGGTAAAGGCGAGGAGAAGGGGAGGGATGGGGGCCGGGGTGCAGAGGGAGGAGAAAGGAATGGAGGAGTGAAGAGGGAGAGATGGGGGTGAAGAGGGAGAGATGGGGTGAAGGGGGTGGAGGCCGAGAGAGATGGGGATGAAGGGAAGGGATGGGGAGAAAGAGGAGGGAGGATGGGTGCAGAGAGGGGAGGGAGGGACCGGGTGTGGAGAGGGGATGGGAGAGCTGGGAGCAGGGAAGCAGACGCGGCCTCCGGAGGGACTGCCCCGGAGGGCGGTGCCGGATAACGGAGCCCTCCCGGCCACAAGCCCCCGCTGGACCGGCGAGCCGCCAGCCGGCAGGCCCGGGGCGCCGGGCTCCCGCCGGGCTCCCACCGGCTCCCACCGGCAGCCGCGGCCCCGCCCGCGGGGAGGACCCCGACCCCACTCACTCTCGCCGACCACGGCTTTGAGGCCGATGGGTGCCATCGCGCCGCGCGAGTCTCCGGGCTGCGAGCCTCCTCACGCGACGCCGCGGACAGCGCCGGCTCCCCGGGTCTGCCGCCCCGAAGCCGCTCTCGGGACCGACTGACTGACGCCCGGGCTCCGCGCGGGGGCGCCGCTGCTGCCAGAGCGAGGCTACGAGCAGCCGGCGGGAGCGCGCGCGCGGGGGCGGGGCCGTCGGGGGCGGGGCTTCGCGCCAGGCGTGTGCGTCACCCACGCGGCTGCGCCAATCGCAGTGCGGCCCGAGGGCCCGGCCCCGCCCTCCGGGATGCGGCTGGGCGCGAGGCGGCCTCTGGCTGGAGCGGGAGCCGCGCCCTCCCCCTCGCCTCACGCGCCGCGCGCCCCCTGCGGCCGCCCGCTCACCGAGCCCCGGGTCCTAGAGTCCCCTCGGCTGCCTCTGCACCTGAGACCCCAGCCACAGGCTACTGACACTCTCCATCTTCCAGAGGTCCAGCTGTGGTCCTGTCTTCCCTCTTTTTGGTAGCATTTCATTCCCCCTTGCCATCAAAGGAGCTGCGAGGCTACATCTCTTAGTGGTGCCCACTCCCAGCCCCAACCATAGCATGTTCATTGACACCATCTCTCTCTGGGTATCTATTCTATTCATAACATCCACCATTCACTGGCCTGTTAGGTGTCCAGCTCCAAGCTGAGCCCCTGGCACGCATCATCTCATTAAACTCTCATAAAAACTGGGCATTGTTTTTTTTTAAATATATATATATATATATATATATATATATATATATATTTTTTTTTTTTTTACATAGAGGAAGAGAGAGGGATAGAGAGTTAGAAACACCAATGAGAGAGAGTCATCAATCAGTTGCCTCTTGCACACTCCATACTGGGGATGTGCCCACAACCAAGGTACTTGCCCTTGACCAGAATTGAACCCAGGTCCTTTCAATCCGTAAGCCAGTGCTCTATACACTGAGCCAAACAGGTTTCAGCTGAGCATTGTTTTTAATCTCCACTTTCAGATGAAAAACACAAACTGAGGCTCGGAGATCTGAGCACTAGACTTGGCTCTCAGGCTCTATATTATTCATTAGCAAATATTTATTGTTATCTCACTTCTACATGTAAGCCGCTATTCTGAACGTTGGAGCTGCAGTCATGTACAAACCCGACTCAAATCCTAATTTTTGGGCACTCAAAGTTTAAAAATGTTTAAATCCCAAGTCTGATAAGAATATGCAGTGGGACTACTCTTAGTCTTAGTATCTCCTTCGTGAAGTCCACCTTCATCTAAGCGGTCCCTGGTCGGTGTTTGCTGGAATGCCTTTGTTAACGGGAGCTCTTACTTTTGAAATATGGGACAGGGCTCGCCTTTGGCTTTACACAACAGCAAATAGAGCCCAATTAAAAATAAAAAAGGACAAGACTGAGCTAGTGGTTGTAAAATTAATAAGTACTCATTCGTTGAGTTTTTGAAACAGCTCTGTGAGCTGGGCCTTTTTCTTTAAAAAAATATTTTATTGATTTTTAACAGAGAGAAAGGGAGAGAGAGAGAGAGAGCTAGAAATGTCGATGAGAGAGAAACATTGACCAGCTGCCTCTTGCACACCCCCTATGGGGGATGTGTCCGCAACCAACGTACATGCCCTTGACCGGAATCGAACCTGGGATCTTTCAGTCCACAGACCGACGCTCTACCACTGGCCAAACCGGCTTCGGCTGGGCCTTTTTCTTAATATTAAGAAGCCCTAGCCAAGTGCAGGAGGCAACCAGTCAATGTGTCCCTCTCACATAGATGTTTCTCTCTCTCTGTCTCTCCCCCTCCCTTCTACTTTCCCTAAAAATCACTGGGAAAATATTCTCAGGTGGGGATTAGCAACACACACACACACACACACACACACACACACACAATACACACACACACACACACAAAAAGTAATGTTTTACAGGTGTGAAACTTGAAATTCAGAGAAGGTAAGTACTTTGTGTAAGTGACAAGATCCAATTCTAAACCTGAATTCTGAACCCTTATTTTATATGAGTCACAAGTAAAGAAGCGGAGGCCTAAAGGAACACTTTCCCGTGGTCACACATTGAACAATGAAGACAAGAGGCCACATGTCCTAGTTCAAGCACCACCCCCAGGGCATGAAGGATTGACTTTCCTGGCCCAATATGCCCAATATACCCCAACAGAACCCTCACACGGCTTCTCAGAGAAGGTATTCACCGGTCACCTCTGTATGTCTGGGCTCACCCTTCCCCCCGGGGAAGAGACTGATAGCTTCTGTGCATTTGGAGAAGGAGGGGATAGTTTGCGAATGAGAGGGGACGTAGATGCATCTGTGACATCATGTGCTCCCTCTTTGGCCAGATGGCTCAAGTCAGCAGAGACGGCCCTCAAGGAGCTGGGGTTCTAGACGGGAATCAGGAAGTCACATGCAGCGCTGAGTTACTGTTCTAATTAGTGCTGGAGCAGAAGGACAAGGGGCTGGGCGAGTGAAGCCAGGGCACCTGACCCAGTGGGGGAGGAGGGGTACACTCCCCACAGGCTCCCTGAAATGAGTAAAAGGTAGAAGAGGGATAGTGTGTATGGAAGGTACAAAGAGGGAGCCAGAGAGTCCAAGGGGCAGGGTGAAAGGACCATTAGGTGGATTTGCATGAGGCCTCCTCAAAGTCCGAGCAAATAAAATACAGCAGCTCCTTTGTTTCTACAGAAGAGACAAAAAAGAAATCTCTTCCTGAGATGTGTACTGATATGTTCATCGGGAATGGCAGTACTTAGAATGGATGTTATTTTAAATAGGAGGGTTGAAAATGCAAGGGGTTGCTAGACTGTGAGCTCACTTCGGAACCCCTGACTGAGGAGGCAGATTGGAATTTCTCCAAGACCTGATTGGAGATCTCCGACATCTGTGAGCCTTGGCTTCTCCATCTCTGAAACAGAGACAACACAGCTCAGGGCCTCTCTCCCCAGCGGTAAAATCCTCCCTCGGCCACCGCACCGTGCCCTGTGCTCTGCATCTTTATTTGCATATGCATTTGACTCATGCCAGACACCTCGCAAAGGATTCTCATGAGTTTTCACTGAATTCTCACTGCGGCTATGATTACCCCATTTTCCCGGGGTGCAGGAAGATGCGTCACTCGCCCAAGGTCACGCGGCTGTGGATGCAGACCCGGTCTCCCGCTCTGACGTCCTGATGCTCAGGGGACAACGTGCAGCGCCCAGGGCCTTGTTGTAAGGAGAGGTTTGGCCGCGTGAACAGCTGGCTGGGAGCGCATCGGCAGCGACAGCCTGAATCCCTCGGGAGTCCGGACCTAGCGGGTTCACCGGCCCAGCCCGGCCCAGCCTGAGAGCGGGACGGGCTGTGTCCGCGGCATGCTCAGGACTGGTCCTCCATCCCGGATGGTCCTCCATCCCGCCCGCCCCGCGCGCAGGTGCACCTGCTGCTGCGCATGCGCGGCCTGCGCCTCTGCAGAGCCGGGTGCTGGCCAGCTGCTGGGGTGGGAAGAGTCCTGTGATGCTCGCACGGGTCACGTGAGGGGCTCGCCACTGCGCCAGAAGTCACGCAGGTGGGAAGACGGATGCGGAGAGGAGCAGGAAGAAGCTGGGCTCAGACCAGAGAAGCAGGGAGCAGCCTGGAGGGACTGAGAATGGAGATAGAGGAACAGCGAGCCAGAATAGGCAATGGGGTAGACCCTAATGAGATTGAGGTAACCGGGAGCAGTTGCCTCCATCAGACCTACTGACACCGCAGACCCACTGGCTTCCTCCCCCTCCCCACCACCGTTCCCCACCCTCCCACACCCCTCACCTCCGTCTCCCACCCTCCCACACCCAGGGCCTGCTGGAGGGCCTGGGTCCCAAGTCTGGGCCTCTTCTCTGACATTCTGGGGCTTGCACCTCCCTCTCTTCTACTCTAAGTAGCAGCAGCGCTTGCATTTTTTTCATGTTCATCTTCACCCCTTCTCTTGGCTGCTGGGTCTTGAGATTCTGCTACATCCTTTTAGGAGCAATTTTTTAAAGAATTCAACAAGATAATATTTATGAGGATCTTTAATACTGAGAACCCAGTAAGGAGCCAATTAACGTTAGCTGGGAACAGGGTCAAAGTGACATGACTGAGGCTCCAAATACAGTTCTGGAGACTTCAGTCTGTGTCCCGCCTCTGTGGCTGCTGTGGACTCATTAGGGGAATGGAGAGTCATTGTCTCCGTTCCAGCCTCCCTGCTGCCCCGCACCCTGTCCAAAGAGCAGCTGGGCCCGGACAGCTTGTTCGGTACATCCTTGTCCCTCAGAGTGACTTACCCGTTTTTTTGTGTTTTTGATCAGACTATATTATCAAAAAGGCTTTGTTTTCAAACGCCTAGGCCAGGTTCTCAGACTCAAAAGGACTGTAGGGGACAGGCAGCCACAGTAACACCTCAGATTCTCAGACTGGCCAACTGCAGGGTACATGCCTGGCTCAGCGGGGCTGTGCCTGCTCAGCTCCCACCAGTGGTGACTAAGGGCCTTGACAATAAAGATTTATTTAAATAAATAAATAAAACACGTAAGTACATTAAAAAAAAAAAAAAAAAAAAAAAAGAAGTGGTTGGGTAGGAGTTCAAAGTCAGTAGCCAGATCTGGGCCTTCCTGTCAGCACTTAGGACATGGATGTCACCAGGAAGAGTGACAGATGACCTGGGAGTTGAGGATCATGTGAAGGGCCCTGAAAAGCACCCCAGTTTAAGGCTGAGCAAAGGGAGCAGAGCCCAGAAGGAGATAGAAGGGAAATGGACAGCCTGGCCACGTGGTTCAGTGTGTTAAGCATCAACCTATGAAGCAGGAGATCATGGTTCGATTCCCGGTCAGGGCACATGCAGAGTTGCCAGTGTGGGGCGTGCAGGATGCAGCTAATCACTGACTCTCTCATCGTTGACGTTTCTCTCTCTCCCTCACCCTCCCTGTCTGAAATCAATAAAAATAACTTTTAAAATAATTTTAAATGCGGTGTGTGTGTTTGATTCAGAGAAGC